GTACTCATTAAATGCGGGTATTCTGAATCACTGGCATGCACTGTGTGGCAGTACAATTTCAGAGACTATGCAGTATCATTATACATAGAAGATTCTAATGAGAAATTTTTAATAAATAATGATTTAAAAGAAACTAGTGTTACTTTTTATGTTTTAAATATTCTTACACAAAATGAAACTGCTGTAATCAACTTTAGAAGAAAAGAATAGACTTATATTGTTAAATAAAGAAAAATATATATATTTTGCAGAGTGGGGTTAGACCCTCCGATATGTAAAACAAATATTAGGAAATAAACTATGTTATTATTTAGATATAAGCTGAAGAAAGTAGATGAAAATTCTGTAATTAATTATCTAATTTACTTCCGGCCATGCAAATTCTAGTGTATTGTCCTAAACATCTGAATCTAAAATTACAGACAAATTTGAAACAGAAAACAGAAAGTAAAAATGTATAGGGACAGTGACCTCACCAAGATGAAAAGATTAAAAGTCCCCTATTTTCATATCCCTTTACAGCAAAAAAATGTCAGCCATCCCTGACCAGAATGCCTTTATGAGAGAACCAGGCTAATGCCTGGTTACAGGCATTACCAGCTTACACCTGTAATGACAGCTCCATGATACTTTAAGGTTGGAGAAATGCTTCAGGCCAGGATGTTGAGACCAGTCTGCGTTATGTAGCAAGACCCCATCTCCAAAATAAGTGCCTGTAAGATTTCAGATCCAGAGAGGGAGTTCTGAAATGCTGATAAAGCTTAAGATTGAGAAGTGTTCTATTCAGAAGGCAGGCCCTCATTCAGGTGGGAAACTACAGGACCCCTGTTCTTGGCTACAGACCAAGATAGGGTTCACTCAACTTGGTCTGACTGAGAATTCTGAACTTACTCTGAAACTATGCGAAACTCCTCCCAGCCACAGTCTGGGAGAGGTCCTGCCATTCCAGAGACCTGGAGGAAGGCACCCATTTACAGCCATGTAGGCAGGCCTGCAGACCTTGGCCTTTACTGTGGTCCCTGAAACAGTTCAGTGACTCAGTTTCAGTTACCTGAGCCACAGTTTATGGCCAGTTCTGCCTATATAGAAACCCATACAGTTACCTGAGGAAATATTCTCTGGTACTCACTGAAAACCGTACTCATCCATATCCTGATACAAGGCCCACCATATGCAGACCCGACTGCAAAAACATGCCCTAGTGTCTGCCCTACAGAGCAAAGTCCTGAAGGGTATTCAGTCTGTCCAAAAATAAAATGGGAATTACAACTACCCAAGTCTCTGTATCAAGCCAACTAAAGGTGGACCATAATGCAGACCCAGCAGCCTTGTGACCAATCTACAATCCCTCTTCACTACAAATTCAGAGGGCATCTCATCACGTTAAGGGCCCAATAAAATAAGATTTTTTACCTTCTAAAAAATCAGTTTAGGAAAACTTGAAGAGGTGTTTTTCTCCATCAAATTCAGACACCGATACAAAACTATATTGTGCCTACTGTCAATGCTTCTATTTTAATCTAGCACTGGATGTGGCAGAATAATTAGTCAAATAAATAAAAAAATCCACTGAAACAGAAAAATACGTAAAATGCTGTTGGTAGATCATACAATCTTATATTTAAAAAACCATACACAGTACTTTTACATTGGCTGAGGAATGGTTTACCAACTATACGGTCAATTTTGTCAATTTTGTCTATTCAGGACATAGGCATGAGCAAGGACTTCATGACTACAACACCAAAAGCAATGGCAACAAAAGCCAAAATAGACAAATGAGATCTAATTAAACTAAAGAGCTTCTGCACAGCAAAAGAAACCACCATCAGAGTGAACAGGCAACCTACAGAATGGGAGAAAATTTTTG